GCCAAACTGGTTTCAGCAAGAATGACTGTATTTTAAAGCATGTGGAATCAGAGTGACAATGGGCCTTACATTCTTAAGTAATTTAAATAGAGCCATGTTTTTATTTTTTATTTTCATAAGTTTTATGGATAAAACATCAACCCCAGACTACCTCCACCCATACATCACTGTGCCTGCACTCCCTGGGAGGTCACCTTGCATGTTGCTTTCATCTCTCCTGTTCTGCCTTGGCAAGAAAAAGCTCCTGCTAATTGGCAAAACGAATGGATTATTTTGTGTCCTTTGCTTATCCAGATGAGCTAAAATGAATTGTCTCTCCTGCTTCCCAGTGCATTGTTTTGATGGACTACCGTTTCACAGGCCATGCTTGCATATAGATGGCTCTCTTTGCTACTTAGCATGCACCTTGTTGCCACATATATTACAAGCTTTTTGATGACTGAGACTTCGCCTCTAGAATAAGCCACACTTTCTGTTTCCTCTTTAGCTCCAGTTCCTGGATTAAGAATAATTCACATGGCTTGTCTGTGTGCGTGAACTTTCTATAAATCCATTTGTTGCTCGAAGAATGTCTTTCTTGTCAGCCCTGGCCGGGGTTGCTCAATGATTAGAATGTCAGCCTGCACACGAAAGGGGCATGGATTTAATTCCAGAGCAAGGGCACATACTGCAGGTTCCATCCCCAGCCCAGTTAGGATGCATGTGAGAGGCAACCAACTGATGTGTCTCTCTCACATCAATGTCTTTCCCCCCTCCCTCTCTTTTTTTCTCTCTCTCTCTCTCTCCTGTCTCTCTGTCTTTCTTTCTCTCTCTCTCCTGTCTCTCTCCTTCTCCCTCCCTCCTTTCCACTCTGTCTGAAAAGCAATAGAAAAAAATATATCCTTGGATTAAGATTAACAAAAACAAAAACAAAACAAAATCTTGGGAAATGCTAGCATTATCATTTTAAAGGACAAATACATTATGAATTACTCTGTGATTTTTTAACATTTTAGTTCAGAGTTATGTTCTTTCCTATCAAAGCTCTGTAAAAAAGAGAATAAACCTAGCCCACAGTTTACTTAAATGGGAAATGATCTATTTTACAATAAATAATATTCTTCAAAAAAACCGTGAAAATGTTAGCCATGAAGCTCATTTTCTTGCATCACTTTCAAAATGTTAATGTCTATGGGGGACAATCAAGGCAGCTGCTTTTGGATCAGTTGACCCTATAACTCCCTTTAGTGAAATTTTTTTTTTAGTTCTCAAAGATTACTAATTATACTAGCAACTGCCTTCTTTATCAATTGAGCATTTGTTGTATATTGATAGTCTTGGTTTATTTGTTTTTAAATTATATAGGATCAGAGTCCATATGTCTAACTTAGCTGACAGGAATAAACTTGCATTTTATTTGTGCCTAAAACAGAATGGAATGTTTTTTCACGTAGTCAGTGTGGGATGCATTAATAAAATACCACAAATGGTGGCTGCTCAACGATAGACATTTATTTCTTAGTCTGGAGGTTGGAAGTATGACATCCAGTGCCAGTGCAGTCAGTTCTGGTGAAAGCCTTCTTCTGGGTTGCAGACTGCTGTCTGCTCAGTGTGTCTTCACCTGGAGAAGAGACTGTGCTAACCTCTGAGGGCACTAATCCCATTTATGAAGGCCCCACCCTCATGACCTAATTCCCTACCCAAAGCACAACCTCCAAATACTATGACATTGGGGGATTTGACTTCAACATCCCATTTTTTGGGGGTGTGTGGAGGAGACACAAATATTTAGTCTTTAACAACCAATATATATGTAGTAGAGTCGGCGATATGGGAGGGGAGTGGACTGACTGTTCTCAGGGAAAGGGAGGGAGGAAGAGACTGAACATAAACTGTGCACCTATGGATGAGGACAATGGGGGGTGGGGAGGGGGCGGCGGGTGGGGTGGGAACCTGGTGGAAGGGGGAAGAAATGAGGAACCTTTGTAATAATATGAACAATAAAGATTGATTTTAAAAAAACAAAAACAACAACAACAACAAAAAAAAAAAACAACCAATATATGTGAAGGAAATCTTTCTTTTCTTTTTTTTTTGAAATTAACATTATAATTTATTTTTTAAACTAAAATTTTAATTTTGTCAATTCTTACTCAAGGATATTATTTTCCTTTTTTTTTTTTTTTTTTTTTTTTTTTTTTTTTTTAACAAGAATGGGAAGGAGGGGGAAAGAGGAGAGAGAGAAACATGGATGTAAAAGAGACACATCTATTGGTTGCCTCCTGCACATGCCCTGACTGGGGCCCGGGATTGAAACTGCAAGCCAGGTGCTTGCCCTTGAGGGACAATCAAACCTGAGACCCTTTGCTGTGCAGGCTGACACTCTAACCACTGATCCACACCAGCCAAGGTATAATTTATTTGAAATGTGTTTTCCATTTTTCAGTTACAGAGTTTATCAGAATCCACTTTATTTTATATTGCGGCTTTTAAAAAAAATTAATGACCTTGTTGTTTTGGCAAAGTCTCATGCTGTGGTCTGTTAAATTGTCCTTTACAGAAGGTAGCTGTCTCGAATAGGACTGGGAAAGCTATTCTCTTAAATTCTTAAACAAGGAAGGCATCAGAAATGTTTCTGGGGGAGTAGTTAGGGAGTTAAATCAGCCTTAAAGTGCGGGAGCAATTTTATTTGATGAAACTTGTTATCACACTAGCTCAAACCCTTTAGTTGGGTGGTAATTCCATTAGGAAAAAACAGTTTTCTATAACAAAGCTATTTCTCAGTAATTGCTCCCATTGAAGGTAATTGCTACCACAAACAGAGTTTGCATTGTGCCCTACATGCTTCCCATATGATATTTCATTTACTTCTCACAAAAAAATCTTAGGACTTGGTTATTGTTATTTCTGTTTAACAGATGAGGCAGCTGCTGTTCAGAGAAATTAAGTAATTTTCATAAATTTCCATATTTAACAAGTGGCAGAATGAAATCTGTTTGGCAGGTCTGAGTGTACAGTAGTTTCAAAATATTATTTTTGGTTGTGTAGCCATAAAATAATTTGGAAACCCTATGTACCCATTTATGCTTTAAATTGTCATTTAGAGTTTTTGTCATATGTTTAAATAGTTGGGAAAGATGTAATTTCTGGCATATTATAAATCTTGATGGTAATGAAGTTTAGATTTCTTTTTAAATATAACCTATATAATAAAAACATCACAAAGATTTGGTATGTCCTATTGCTTTTTTTTTTTTTTTTGTAAGTTATACTATGGTGGGGAGTCAGAGGTTAAAAAATCAATTGCAAATTAATAATTCAATACAATTATGAGAACGTCTATGAATAAAGATAAGGTGCTAGGAGGGCATATAAAGGGATTGATGCCTCATAGGATCAGGGAACACTTTCTTGACTAAATGATATTTGGTCTGAGGGCTAAAGGTTTGGATGGGATAAGCCTTCTTGGGAGAGGGCTGTTGAAAAGCCTGCACAAAGGTCCTGAGATTGGTGAAAACATGTTTAAGGGATTCTTTAAAAAGTCAGTGAATCAGAGAACTGGAAAGACAGACATGGAAATGATCCAAGATGTGGCTGGAGAGGAGACAGAGGCCAGGTAGGACAAAGCCTTCTTTGTAGGAGATTTTCATGGTTTTGGTCTTTATCTCAAGACTCAGTGGCCATTGTAGTGATTTAAAGATAGACATGAATAGTTATGCGCATTGACGCATTGAGGAAACTGGGCAAGAGAGAAAGTTGGGACATCAGCTAGGATATTCACGGAATGGTCCAAGCGGGAGGCGCTGGTGCCTTAGACTATGCAGTGTTTCCCAAAGTGTGGTACGTGTACCCCCAGGGGTACGGGAGGAGTTTGGTGGGGGTACGCATTGCACCAGAGTTTGATAGGATATGCACTGCACCATGCTCAGCTGTGCCTAATTCTATGTTCTTATGAGTATGAGGGGTACTCAGTGTTATGAAAATTATAGAAGGGGTCAAAAGTTTGGGAAACAGTGGACTAAGGTAGTACCAGTGAGTATAGACAGAGTGGACACACTTAAGAGATAGTTAGGTAAAAAGATACAATATGTACAAGAGAAATATTGCTCAGGATCCAACAGCGGCTTAATATCTACGACCAAAGCTGTGTAATATAAACAAATCCCAATGCTTAGAGGAAGAATTAAAGATAAAAATTTTCCCTTTTTTCTTTCATCACCCCCTATGGATTTTCTCTTTAGTATTTTACAAATAAATGTTTTATCCTGATTTATGTAATATGACTATGGCATTTTTGACATAAAAAATGGGTATTCATTCTTCAAAAGTTGGGAACCACTTATATAAGAAATCAAATCACAGGGACTATGGATCCATATTTGTGGTGTCACTAGGAAGAAATTGAAAAGCTTTCTGCTTTGGGGAGAGTTTCAGTGGCTTGTGGATTTTTTAACAGGTTTCTTGCTTGTCAAAATCTGAAAATAAGAGATCTTTTTTTCTTTTTGTTTTCACCTGCTTTTCTGGAAACCACAGAATGTCTTGTTTTTTCAGGTAATCCACTACAAAGTATAATACATCAAAAGCGGCTCATCTCCATATGATAGTTGGGACTTCAGAGGCAGGGGATGAGTTGTATTTTCGAAATTGTTTGGTTAATATCGCCAGAATGACAGTGATGGATCCAGTGGTTCCACCTCCTACATTGCGTTGTTCATCATGAAGAAGAAAACGTTTTTTACTTTTCAAAGATATATGTTTATAAGTAATACAACAACAAGTACACAAATACTATTAGACTTGAAAGAGTACTGAGAAAGGTGCAGATGAAATTCTGACTTATTTTATAAACTCACCTTTAAACAGTTGGTTTGTTAAGTTGTGCTTAAAAGGCCATTTAATACATTGTTTTTGTTGTGAAATTTGTCAATTGAAACAGAAATGCCTACCACCCCTGCCCCCAGGTTTTTATAAACCTGTCAACCCCACATTTATCTGAAATCTCTTTTCTCTTCTAACTTTAGTTTCTACCAATTTGGAATCATACATGGCTTCAGATGGCAATTTTCTCGTAAGTACCCTTTGGAACACTCTGGGCTTTAGATATTAATCATGAGCTTGGCAAATGAATAAAAATCTAGACAAATCAATTTTAAGGTTGTCTAGGTAGTTGTTGTCCTCCACATCATTAGCCACAATTGAATTGAATGATCCTTTGTTAGGTTGCAAGGTTTTCTTATGATCACCAAGCATTTATTTAAAACTCCTACCTATTCCTGACACATAACCAGGATTTTAATGTACTGTACATGAATTATTTCTGTTTTAAGTTAACTATGGTACCAGTGCAGCCTCTATGGGAACAAATTCCATTAATGATTACACTGAAATTGTAGGTTTCTTTAAAAATCATTTCATAAATTTGCCTAAATTAGGTAAGTCAACTGAACAAGAGTATTATTTCTAATAGATAAGAAAAGGCAGGAAGAATTGAGATGTTGGTATAAGCAGCTGACTGTTTCTCACAGAAGGGGATTCAGGGTGGTGTGGGGTTGTATCGATATGTGTGCAACTTTGGGCAAATCTGATGACCTCATGAGCAACCCATAGGTCCGAATTTTTGGAGTAGAGCCAAAAAGCAGAATCAGAAGTAAAGTGTTGAGAGAAGGTAGGATAAGTTTCCTGCCAAATAGGGAACATGGGCAATGGTTTCTTGCTGCAAATTAGAGAATGGATGTCAAGGAAGGTTGTGGTGGTAGTGACGGGGAAATTGAATCAGACAGCTCCTGGAAGGAACACCTTACTGAAAAGCAGGGCAGAAGACAAACGATCTGCTTACTTTAACAATTTCAGGTGCCAGAAATAGAGAAGGCAACTTTAATTCTGATGCTAATTTTAAATGAAGAAAAATAGCTTGCTAGTGATAAAAAATGGTGGGAACTTTGGGAGAAACAGGACTGCCAAAAACTAAAAAAATGAAAACATGAATTATAGTCAGTTCTGTACCCTAGGAAATGAACCATCTAAAACTTGCAGAAAAGGAAGTATGACCCATGGGATACAAATGGGTGGGTGTTGTTCGATAATAGAAATGTGAACAATCTCAACGAAGACAGAAAAGAACAGCCAAGAGGATAAAAGTGGGCGCAATGGGAGGCTTTTGCTAAAATTAGATTAAAAACATATGCACAGGATGTTAAAGGAGGCTCCTACGGTCAAGGGCAAAAGCAAATAGATATCGCATTATCTGTAAAAATACAGCCAGGAAGACTGAAGTTCAGAGTGCCCAAAGTTTATAAAAATTTTTAAGAAGAAAAAACCTATAGGCCATAGACATAGGCAAGAGGTGGTGAAGGGCCTGGGATGGAGGACGGGGGCAGACTAGAAGAGGTCAATGGGGGAATAACGGGAGAATATGTAATACTTTAAATAATAAAGATTTTTTTAAAGAACAAATCCATACGATTAGAAGCATATGTGTATGTGCTATATAGGAAAATATGAGAAGGGAGAATTAGGACTGATGGATCACTGAGAAAGGTAATGTAGTGTTGCATGCTTATATTGCTTCTTTCCCATTGCTTCTTCTTCTCCTTGAAGAAGAAATGGAAATTAAGACAAGAGAACACATAAGCACTTCAAATTAATGAATTCATTCATTCAATTATCCATTGAGAGATTCTTTTAATGTTCACCGATAACCCCTCCTGACCATCAGGTTTCAGCCACTGCACTAGGTAGGAGGAGAGATTGAATTGTGACTTACAACAAGTTGAAATCTTCACATCTTAAAAACAAAAAAAACAAAAAAACGCGTAATGCTGGATATGGGAAGAAAGGCTGCAGATGTGATTCCCTAAGGACTAACGGATCCTCCATATCATTCTCAATCTAGAGCTATTACCGCGGTAATCTGTAACCTGCTGGGCACCAGTGGATTCTGTTTTTATTGGTGGGAACTCTGGCTATTTCTGGGTCATTCTCATTTCATGAGCCAACCTCTACTCCTAGATTCAGTCAGCTCAGCTCTCCCCATGTGTATATTTACCTGTTATTTTTGTCTTTCTGCCAATGCGTCTGGGCTGTACTGCTTAACTCTTAAGCATTTCTTCCAGCTGCTCTTCAATGATTACCCTACTTTATCTTTCCATTCAGAAAATTAGTTCCATTTTCTGCTGTCATTTGTTCCCTAAATAAAATGGAGCACAGGAGACCTATTTTTTTATGCCAGGTAGTTTCAGTAAGCTTGACATATTTGACCTAATCACATCTTGGATTTCACTTCGTTTCCACTAAACTAACATTTATTGAGCTGTATGTGTGGCTTGGTGCTGGGGTATGAAGATGAGGAGCTTATCACTGGTGGGGAAGGGCAATACTTTTAAGGTAATTTTGTTGATTCTGACCTGAGCATGGACGTTGGCATGGTAAATGGTGTTAATAAAATTGCTCAAGACACTGGATGTGAAGCATTTGAACTTTTATGATATGTGTGGTAGAATACCATTGCTCTTTTTTGTTAAGTTGAATTTGCTATTTGATGGTATTCTTTTCTGTCTTCTGAAGGGAGACAGCAGAATTTTCAAAGCTAAAACTTCACATAGAGTTAAAGATATTAACTCACCAAGTTCTGTTGGTTTTACCTCCTAAATATTTCTCCGCCTTCATAGACAACACTTGAGCTTCCCTCTGCCTACCGGCTTCTTTGCCTCTACACCTGCCCCCTTCCAATCCCCTTGCCACATGACACCAGAGTGAATTTTCCTAACTGCAAACCTCCTCATTATGCCACTCATCCGCAGACATCTGCTCCATGGCTTCCCACTGGCTTTTCGGTAAACTTTATACTTGGGAATGTAACTGACAAGGGCCCTGCATGATGCCACTTTGCTACTCGGAACAGGTTACTGCCCACACTCTGTGGTTGATGCCTACTGGGTTGTACCTGCATGCCATCTTAGACCCACTAGGCACAGGTCTTTGTCTCTCAGATCTTTGTTTTTATCAGCTCATCGGGTGCTTTTCCTGGCTCCCCAGTTCTGGGTAAATGCTATAATGAGCTACAACACAGCACCTCTGTACAAACCTTATTATCCGTGTTTACCTCTATATCTTCTGTGCTGGATTGGGATCTTGCTTGGTGTTGAATCTCTAATCCTTGACACAGTAGTTTTTCAGTAATCACTAATTTGGGTAGTTGAATAAACAAAAACCATAACTTACCAAATTGTGGCCTGAAAAAAAAGAATGAACTAAATCACCTTGAGAAACAACATAGCTTGTGGAGAAATCTCCAACATGATTAGATTTGGTGCAGTCTCTAAACATCTCTGAAAACCCATTTGTGTAGTTCTTGATATTTATAAGGCTTTCTGTACATCACACTGTGGTGATAACAAAGTATTATATACTAATTCAGTGTATTGCTCGTTTTCTTTTATGATTCATTGTTCACGTAGATAAGCACAGAGACAAACAAATAAAGGGAAATAAATAACAACCAGCATATATGAATATTCAAAGCTTCATTAAGAAAGTTCCCTGGTCGCCGAAACCGGTTTGGTTCAGTGGATAGAGCGTTGGCTTGTGGATTGAAAGGTCCTGGGTTCGATTCCAGTCAAGGACATGTACCTTGGTTGCAGGCACATCCCCTGTAGGGGGTGTGCAAGAGGCAGCTGATCAATGTTTCTAACTCTATCCCTCTCCCTTCCTCTCTGTAAAAAAAATAAAAAATAAAAAATAAATATATATATATATAACATATATATATGTGTGTGTGTGTGTTCTATATATCTATATATCTATATATCTATATATCTATATATCTATATATCTATATATCTATATGTTCCCTGGTCTCAGATTTTAGCAGCAGATCTCCGGTAAGAAAGGCAGTTAAAGCTGACAGGCTCCAAGGGGATGCGGCCCATTATCTCCTTTACTGTTGTACATAATTCTTCCCCCTTCAGCGTCTGAGATTTCTCCCTCTGACAATGGCTCTCGTGGGGAAGAGATGTCAGAATGATCTTAGATCAAAACTTTATGACAGTGTTTGCTCAAGAATTCCTTTCAATAAAACTCCCCCATTAAATAGCGCCTGAAAAGAAAATGTCAAGTGATAGCGTTTCCCTGAAACAGAGGCACTGCGTGTCAATCGTGGTGACTTGGCTGGGTGTTCACGCTCCGGAGGGCCAGCTTTCTGACTGCCGGGGACTCGCACTTCTAGCCCTGTGGTTGGCTGACCTGCCGGTGCCTGGCGTGAGCTGCCATCGCTGGCGTGAGCAGTCTAACAGCACACCGGTACTTTTTGTGTTTGCCTCACAAGAAAGTCCTGCTTCATTCCTCACAGAACATGACTCGGTGCCTGGTCTTTATGTGTCCTGCATGAGTGAATAAGCCAGATAGGATGCCAGCCACCATTGGCACCTGCTCTGCCCCTTGTTCCTTCTCCATGCCATGGTGTGTGCCTCAGGGATGTGATGATATTCAGAGATGAAGGGAGGAATATATATTTTCACTTCTTTCAATCAATTCAAAGCCGCTGAGATTGTGGCAGCTTGTTTTTTAAGCTACATCAACAAAAGCCCGTGCTGAACTGGCTGAGCCAGTGCTGCTGTGATAGGCCTGTGCAGGGCTGGCTCTCAGGCCATTTAACGACACATGTGCTGTTAAATCTCAGGTAGGACTTCACGCAAGAGGCGCATGGCAGCCCATCTGGGTAGGGGCCTGTTAGCCATCGCTGCAAAAACTCAGTCCCTCCTTCCACAGTAGCTTTCTCCAGCCCGTGCATTTCTATTTTTGGGTTCCAGATTCTTAGTAGTTGAAGGATATGGTTAAAACAGGATGCTGGAGAAAGCTACTGTGGCTTTTGAGGAAATCGTAGTTTAGATCGAAGTAGAGATTTGTTTGGTACAAGTCCATTTCGCCTTCAAGGAAACACCAAGGCTCAATTCCCCAGGTGGGTTCAAAGCGAGTGTCAGTCAACCCCAGGGGTTTTTCTCTGGTGTGCGCTGCTTTGGAGGTGAGAAAGGTGTTGGACCAACTTTTATATTGCTTAACTCTACTGATGTT